AATTTAGTGATGAGATTAAAAGATTAAACTCTATAATATATAATCATGAAGGAAGAATTAGAAAATTAGAATTTGATATTTTGTAAATTGTATTATATTGTTTAAAAGTATATTTTTATTTAACTAGAAGTTTGGTCTATTATTTCTTAAAGTTGTATTATATCTATTTTCTTTCTGATATTATTTTTCTTCCCTTGTTCATAGGAATTTCCTTCTCTCATATTTATATTTTTTTTGTTCATACTATATAGTTTCCATTTATTTCTCTATATATTCTCTGGTATTGAGATTCTTGCTTCTTTCTTATCATCTTCTCTATATTTGCTTTCTGTTTTTATATATTTTAAGCACTCTCTTTCTTGTTCTTGTTCGAACTCTCTTCTTTTCTCTAAACTCTTCTTACTTCTTCTTTGTAATATTACCTGTTCTTCTACTTTTGTTTTATTTGTTGTTTTTACTTCTTGTTTTCTTATTTCCAACTATTATAGTTTGTTGTTATAGTAATACCTTAAGAACTTTAGACTACTTACCCTATCTTTTTCTTTATTAAAATAAACTATTGCACTTCCTATCTTCTTATTATTTGAGTTTTTAAATATATAAAATACTTTCACTCCTATTTTCTTAACTTGTCTTCATAGAAGTATTTTATTTATATTTTCAGATAAATCTAGTAATATTAGACTACATTTGCTTCTTTTGTAAAGTATACTCTAGTTATTAGTACCTAATATTACTCTTACTAGAAGTTAATCCATAAATAGTAAATACCAAGTTTCTTCTATTTTCTTTTCATCATATATTCCTATTTTGAACTTGACTTCTGCTTTTATTTTGTCATATATAGTTCTAATTATTTCTATATGTTCTACTCTTTCTATAAAGCATACTGTTTCAAATACTTGAGTTCTTTTCATCTAAGTTTGTAAGTCCTAAATCATTATCTTGTTGTTATTTTCTTCTAATTCTAGTACTGCTTTATTATCTTGTTTTGATTTATTTTTGTTTTTTTTTAAAAGTTCTTGCTGTTTAATTATTTCTTTGCTTTTTTCTTCTTTTTGTTTAAAAACTTCTTCTAGTTCCTTTGCTACTTAGTTTTCTCTTTTAATTCTTTCTTTAAAATTTTTATCTTTCTTCTTGTAGTTTTCTTGCAATGATTTATTTATCTTTTCTTCTAGCTTTTCTTTTACTATAAATTTAGCTCACTCATATTCTTCTTTTTTATTTTCTAGTATTAATTTTGCTTCTTCATAACCTTTTTAGTAGCAAAAACTAATAATATACTAAGAATTTCTTTTTTCAAAACTTTTACTTGTATCTTTGACATATATATTTCTTCTCATAGACCACTTTAGAAACTTTCTTCTATATTTCTTGTTATCTCTTAGAACTTTAATTGCTACTACTTTTGCCTTTACATTTTGCTTTTCTTTACATCTATCTTTACTAGATACCTATATACTTTTTTCAAGTAATGAGTTTGATGTATCTTTTATTATATCCTTCTTTTTTTCTATATTTCTTTCATATAGATATTCTGTTTTGTTTTTTCTTATTTTATTCTCTATTTCCATCATATCTTTATTTGTTTTTTTCTTGTTTATTATATTTATTTGTTCCTTTTGTTTAGTCTCTACTTTTTCTGTTCCTTTTGCTTCTCCTTAACTATCTAACTTATCTGCTATCTGCATCTTTTCTTCTGTTATTTCTATTTCTGCTTTGTTTATAATTCTAGTAATTTCTATTTGCATAATTTCTTCTTGTAACAAAATGAGTTCTTTATCTTTACTCTTCCTTTCATTACTTGTAATACTTATATTTTCTTGTTTGATTACCTTTTTGATATTGTCTAATCCTTCATATATTGCTACTCTTTCCTATATACTTCTCTATTCTTTAGCTACTGTAACTATTTCACTTTCTATATCTAATATTTTAGCTATTATCTTATTAACATAGCTCTTAAATCCTTTTACTAATTTACTACTTTTATTAAAGATTTCTTTTCTATATTCTTTAGTTATTTCTTTAACTATTCTTATTAAACTATTTTTATTTCACATCTTCTAAAATTAACTTTTGGAGGCCTGGCGATCTTAGTGTAGTGGTTAGGTTGCCAGACCGCCATGCAAGAGGTCTGGGGTTCAAATCCCACTGTCGACGA